CCCTCCAGCACACACACTCACATCCACTTTTCACACACTTCCAACGGTGGCCTTCTGGAGGCTACTGAAGTTTGACTAACAGCATTAACCTGGGTCACAGTGAAGTCAGCAGGTTGGCAGCGTGGTTTCTGACCGCGGTAGGAGGAGGTGACAAACAGTAGTCACTCTGCCTGTGTCAACTCTGCCCTGGTCTGTTTTTTCAATTAGGTTCTGCGGGTTGTAACCCCAAGAGTGCAACAGTCATAGAATGAAGGGCAGAGGTCGTAAATAACAGTAAGATCAGAGACGGGGTTGTATTTTCTACAAACCCTGCAGAACAGTCGGAGCACGTCTACAGAAGAACTCATCAACAGTATTAAATACACTGAGGCCCGTCACTGTTAATATCTGGCTTCTGTTCAAGTCATTTGTCATCATCAAACAAATACCTGCACCTCGTTTATCAACTCCCAACCACATTATAATACTGAGTTTTCAAAGTCCTCAATTAAATATTCATGATGGACGACTTATCAACATATGGAGGTTGATAGTAGGTTATATCATTGAGCTGAGTAGACCAAGCATGGGCAAACTACAGCCCATGGACTGGATACAGCCCATTTGGCTCCATAATATGGCCCGCTAAATTTGTCCATATTATGTTGTTAATATATATTACCATTAGATTTCTGTCTTTTGCCTGCAATGCCCACATTTCCTCAATAGACGGCGAAGAAAAAGCTAAAGGAATTGTAGCATTTTAGCCTTAATGCTCCTGACCTGACCCTCCCTGTCAAGTTTTAGGACCCACGCCTGGTGTAGACAGATGGTTAGAAGGTAGTAAGGTGAGTTGGCTTGCTTTGAATGAAATGGAATGAATAAAAGAAACGACAGCCGTTGATGAGAGAGTATGAAATAGAAGATTAAAAGCAAAGATTGTTCCAGTGGAGCTGAGAGTGGAGCTTCTTCTTCTGTGTCTCTATGTTTTATAACACAGTGTGTCTAATATTGAAACTATGTTAATTGTGAAGCAGGGGAAAAAAAATTGGAAAAAAATAGCACATGTAAATTTAGCTTTTGTTGCCAATGGGATCTGAAGCAGGAAAAAAACAACAGTGTTCAGTGAAGTGAGTCCTGGTTAAAACAACCAGACTGGTTGAAAGACCCAGAGGTTGGAGGGTTTTCATTGATCGGTGTGAAAGAGGCTATAAGCTCAGGTCGTGATGGGGTCGCGACACCTTGA